ACCCAACATCAAGCGGATACCCTTTCTTCTCAGCAGCACATGGATCCTACTCAAAAATAGACCATATATTATGTCACAGGGCAAATCTTTGCAATTACAAAGGAGTAGAGATACTACCATGCATTTTATCTGATCATAATGGAATGAAATTGGAAATCAATAATAAAATGAGAAAGAAAATTCCTACATCACATGGAGAATAAACAATATGCCACTGAATGAACAAAGGGTTACATAAGACATCAAAGAGGAAATTTAAAAACTCTTAGAGGTAAATGAAAACTCAGACACAACATATCAAAATCTCTGGGACACTATGAAAGCAGTACTAAGAGGAAAATTCATTTCATGGAGTTCATTCCTTAATAGAAGGAAAAGCCAACAAATAAATGACCTCACACTACACCTTGAAGCCCTAGAAAAAAAAGAACAAATCAGCAGCAAAAGCCATAGAAGGCAAGAAATAATTAAAATCAGAGCTGAAATCAATGAAATTGAAACAAAAGAAACAATTAAAAAAATTGACAAAACTAAAAGTTGGTTCTTTGAAAAACTAAATAAGATTGATGGACCACCAGCCTTGCTAACAAATAGAAGAAAAGAGAGAACCCAAATTACTAGCTTACGGGATGAAAAAGGCAACATCAAAACAGACGCTTCAGAAGTACAGAAGATAATTAGAAATTATTCTGAAACCCTATATTCTAATAAAATAGATGATACTGAAGGCATCGATAAATTCCTTAAGGCATATGAGCTACCCAGATTGAGTCAGGATGATATAAACAACCTAAACAGACCAATATCAAGTGAGGAAATAGAAGAAGCCATCAAAAGAATACCAACCAAGAAAAGACCAGACCAGATGGAAATACAGCAGAGTTTTACAAGAATTTTAAGGAAGAACTAATACCAATACTCTTCAATTTATTTCAGGAGATAGAAAAAGAGGGAGTATTTCCAAATTGATTCTATGAGGCCAACACCACTCTGACTCCAAAACCAGATAAAGACACTTCAAAGAAAGGAAACTTCAGACCAATATCCCTAATGAATTTAGAAGCAAAAATCCTCAATAAAATTCTGGCAAATCAGATACAAAAACATATCAAAAAGATCGTGCACCATGACCAAGTGGGATTCATCGCTGGGATGCAAGGCTGGTTCAATATACGGAAATCAATAAATGTAATTCACCACATCAATAGACTTAAAGATAAGAACTATATGATCATCTTGATAGATGCTGAAAAAGTATTTGACAAAATACAGCATCGCTTTATGTTCAAAACTCTAGAAAAATTAGGGATAACAGGAAATTACCTCAACATGGTAAAAGCTATATATGCTATGCCTCAGGCCAGCATCATTCTAAATGGAGAAAAATTGAAGGCATTCCCTCTAAATTCTGGAACAAGACAGGGATGCCCTCTCTCATTGCTTCTATTCAATATAGTTCTTGAAACACTACCCAGAGCAATTAGACAGATGAAAGAAAATAAAGGCATAATTATAGGAAAAGAAGAACTTAAATTAGCACTATATGCTGATGACATGATCCTATACCTAGCAGACCCAAAAAGTTCAACCAAGAAACTTCTAGAACTAGTAAGTGAATTCATCAAAGTGACAGGATATAAAATCAATACCAATAAATCAAAGGCATTCCTGTATATCAGTGACAAATTCTCTGAAACGGAAATGAGGACAACTACTCCATTCACAATATCCTCAAAAATAATAAAATACCTGGGAATCAACTTAACAAAAGAGGGGAAATAGCTATACAATGGAAACTACAGAACCCTGAAGAAAGAAATAGAAGAAGACCTTAGAAGATGGAAGGATTTACCTTGCTCATGGATTGATAGAATTAATATTATTACGATGGCCATACTACCAAAAGCACTTTACAGATTCAATGCAATTCCCATCAAAATCCCAATGACATTCCTTGCAGAAATAGAAAAAGCAATCATGAAATTGATCTGGAAAAACATAGACCCAGAATAGCTAAAGTAATTCTAAGTAGGAAGAGTGAAATTGGTGGTATCGTGATTCCAGATTTTAAACTATACTATAGGGCAATAGTAACAAAAACAGCATGATACTGGCACCAAAACAGGCTGGTAGACCAATGGTACAAAATAGAGGACACAGAGACAAATCCACAAAATTACAACTATCTTATATTAGACAAAGGTGCTAAAACCATGCAATGGAGAAATATAGCATCTTCAATAAATGGTGCTGGAAAAACTGGAAATCCATATGCAACAAAATGAAATTGAATCCCTTTCTCTCACCATGCACAAAAGTTAACTCAAAATGGATCAAGGAGCTAGGAATCAGACCAGAGACTCTGCATTTAATAGAAGATAAAGTTGGCCCTAATCATCATTACGTGGGGGCAGGCCCCAAATTTCTTAATAGGACACCTATAGTACAAGAGTTAAAACCAAGAATCAACAAGTGGGACGTATTCAAAGCAAAAGGTTTTTTCTCAGCAAGAGAAATAATATGAGAGGTGAATAGGGAGCCTACATCCTGGGAACAAATTTTTACCCTTCAAACATCAGATGGAGCTCTAATCTCTAGAGTATACAAAGAACTCAAAAAGTTAAACATAAAGTAAATAACCAAAACAACAAATGGGACAAGGACTTGAACAGAAACTTCTCAGAAGAGGACATACAATCAATCAACAAACACATGAAAAAGTGCTCACCATCTCTAGCAGTCAGAGAAACGCAAATTAAAACTACTCTAAGATAACATCTCACTCCAATAAGAATGACAGCCATTATGAAGTCAAACAACAATAAGTGCTGGTGAGGATGCGGGGAAAAAGGAACACTCTTAAGTTGATGGTGGGACTGCAAATTGGTACAGCTAATTTGGAAAGCAGTATGGAGATTCCTTGGAAATCTGGGAATGGAACCACTATTTGACCCAGCTATTCCCCTTCTCAGACTATACCCAAAAGACCTAAAAAGAGCATACTACAGGGACACAGCCACATCAATGTTTATAGCAGCACAATTCACAATAGCTAGAATGTGGAACCAATCTAGATGCCCTTCAATAGATGAATGGATTTTAAAAATGTGGCATTTATACACAATGGAATATTACTCAGCACTAAAAAATAACAAGATCATGGCATTTTCAGGCAAATGGATGGCATTAGAGCAGATTATGCTAAGTAAAGTTAGCCAATCCCTAAAAAACAAATGCCGAATGTCTTCTCTGATATAAGGGGGGTGACTCAAAATGGGATAGGGAGGAAGAGCATGAGAAGAAGACTACCACTAAATAGCGAAGAGAGGTGGGAGGGAAAAAGAGGGATAAGGGGAATTGCACGGAAGATGGAAGGAGAACCTCATTGTTATAAAGAATATATATATATATATATATATATATATATATATATATATATATATATAT